ATCCTTCCATGTAGTCCTGAGGTAGTGGATTAACATGGATGTCCTGATTTTTATGGAGGACATGTCAGGGAATAGGATGTCTGGGTGCGCCAGTAAAAACCAGAGGACGTGATCGAACCAGAGAGGGGTGTCGCCGCAATCCTTGTTCCTCTCTTTCTTGCACTTACATTTAAGGTAGGGTCTTCCGACGCTCCAAATCTTCTTCAGGTTCCTGAGATCGCACTTCTCTTGCTGCCTAATGGCCTTTTGCCATAGGCGTGAGCTGGTTTCGCCACACTTGTCCGGGTCTAAAGCGCGCATGGGTGGAAACTTAAGGTCCTGTGGGTCTAACGGGGTTACCCTCCCTGAAAACTTCAACTTACCCTTCAGTACCTGCGCTCTGCATTCTTTTACCTGTGCGTCCGTGATGTTGCCGAGGAATTGGAGGGCCCTGACGGAGATTGGCGCAATATGGTTAAACGTTTCCATTTTCCAGATCGTGTGTTGGAAAGTAGTGGACATGTGCTCTACCCAGCATGTGGAGGCTATTGGTGCGAAGGTGGTGTAGCGATCCCGTTCAAAGGTATTGGTACAATCCTTGTTGGCAGTGAGGGGGGAATCCTTAATCGTGGCTGTGATGGCGGCGATAGCCCTCTCCATTTCCTCCTTTTCTTCATCTTCGATCGCAAGGTCATCACACCTAACTACGTGTCCATCGTGCGACACGGGTGAGTCGGCTGGAACGGTTGTTGGTACCCGTCCTTCCAGGTGTGAGTCATCCACCTCCCAAATCCTCAGGAGGATCTGCTCCACCCTCGCCGTCCTTCCTACGAGCTCCCTACACTCGTTGTCATACTCCCCTTTCCTGAGCTCAAGTTTCTCGCAGAAGACTCTAAGCTCGTCGTCGAACTCTTCCCTACTGCGTTCCCAGGCTGCGGCAAGCACAGCGAGATCACTGAAACATACCATTTCGAAGAAGTGCGGGAAGCGGCCGGTATCCCAGGCTGTTTTTATTGCATCCATGACGCCTAGGTTGACACAGGCCATCAGTGCTTGTGTAGGTTTCGCAGGCCAGGTGCACTCCTTCAGCCAGGGGAATCGGTGCGTGATTTCGCTCCACCATCCTCCCAGAAAGGATTCTCGCGGAGGACGCTGTGATGTGAGCGGGTGGGGGGAAAAATTCATAAAATGACAAGAGGAGGGGAGGCAGGAGAAAGAAGGAGGAAGGGGGGAGAGGGGGGACGGTTCAAGAGGACGAAGGGAATGGGAAATTGGTGAGGAGGATGGAGGATGAAAAAGGTGAGGAAGGACGAGAGGAAGGACGAGTAATTACGGCCTCCACCTTCGGCCCGCGTTGGTGAAGGAGGATGTGGGACATGAGAAGGCAGGGGAAAGGGAGGAGGGGGGAGGGGGCTGGAGGGGGGTCAGTGTATGTCATACATAGGGAGGGAAAAGGTGGAAACAGGGGGTTCACTTCGAAGACAGAATCACAACCACGGAGACAACATAACAATCCGTCAACGCAGGCATTCCACCGCAAGTCTTTCCCTTCCGCCTTTTCAATCACAAGATCTCGCAAGTAGAGAAAGGAGAGGAAGGAAATGAAGGAGAGAAATGCTAAAAAGCACATGGCGAAGTCTCGGCTGCCGCCCTATTCTCCATTGCCCTTGCTCCACGCAGCTATGCTTTATCTAATCCGGACGCCTCCGCGTCGCGCCGAGCTCAAAGAAGAGGCAGCAGCAGCATGCGAGGAAGAGTGACAGGAAGCCGATAGTGCTTCCGATCAGCAGTGCAAAGCGCTTGGCAGGAAGGCGTAGAAAGACCTGTTCGGAAAGGCAAGCAGCGAGCAATGCGCTGGCTATGGCGAGGTTCGGGAGCAACACGAGGAGGAGAGAGAGCGAAAGGGCAACGCCGCTAACGCAGTGGTACAGGTGATGCGCAGCAGGCCTGGCAGGGCATGTGGGGTCGGACTGCATGGTGTTTGGGCGAGCGTGCTTAGGCGCGGGGCTGCGAAGGTCCGATCGGAAGTCCGCCGCACGATAGGGACGTTACCACTTCCTCGAGTTCCTGCTGCTCCTCCTCCAGGTCCCAGTCGGCGAAAAATTCCATCCCGTCCGCCGCGAGCCTCCGTCCACACACGCCATGCCAAACCGGACCGAGCGCCGCACAACCAGTGTGTCAGAAGTGACTACCATATGGTGCTGTGATGAATAAAGCGTCTACGTTCTACTCTAAAATAGTTGCGGTACCAAGAAAGGAATCGTAGACTTGCATCCGAAGCTAACTTGTCTATCCATTCGTTAAGTGCATCGATCCGATGGCTACCCAGCGTCTTCCGACAAAAGAAAAAGTAAGGGTAAAAAGCAGCAAAACAAGGAACGGAAGCTACGCGTCAAAAAAAGGAAGGGAAAAGAAAATAAGAAAGAAAAAAGAAAAAAGAAAAAAGAAGAAAAAAGAAGAAGGAAAAGGAAAAAAAAAAGGAAGAAAAGGAAAAAGAAAAAAAAAATAATAATAAAAAAAAGGAAAAAAAAAAATAAAAAATAATAAAAAAAAAAGGAACACAAGAAAAAAGGTTTTTCGGGTTTTTTTTGTGCGGCAGGAAGCAAAGGACGGGAAGAGGAAGCAAAGGAAAGGGTCAAAAGAAAGGCTAAGGATGGTTCTACATGCTACACGTTCCTGTGTTTGTCATACCCCCCGGAGCGAGCTACTCCCTTTTGAACCTGGCGCGGGTGGGGTGTGCGTTGAATCGGCGGGGTAACGCCCTGGCCTGTTTTATTCCATCTCATATCATCGAATCAAATCGAAACAAATCGTCAGGGAATTCAGAAGAATCGTCAAACAATCAGGGAAACAGACAATTAGAAAATCAACAAATTAAAAAATCAAAACATTCAAGGGCAATCAAGAGGTCGAGGATCCGAAAGCCCATGAAGGGGAAAAAAAGTGGAAAAAAAAGGAAAAAAAGGTCCGCATTCCTATAGCTCGTGCTGATCCGTCGAGGGCACAGTGTGCGCCCGGGCCACCAGCCCAGTGATCCATCCCGCACTCCCCCAATCATCGCATCTGCAATCTCATGTAAACATGTGCGTGTGTGTGTGTGTGTGTGTGTGTGTGTGTATGTGTGTGTGTGTGTGTGTGTGTGTGTGTGTGTGTGAGAGAGAGAGAAAGAGTGAGAGAGAGTTCTTCTTCTTCCTCCTCTCAGTCCATCATCTCCTTCTTTCCCTCTCAACATCTGACTTCACTGCATCTGCAGACTACTAGAGGAGAGGGAGGGAGTTTGGCGACATCGGATCCAGACTCGACTTTGGGACTTCAGACATCGCAACGAGGGATTACTTGGGATTGATGGCAAAAACTAGGTGTTGACGACATTCCCATCTCTCCCCTTCGATCATTTAATCCCTCCCTCTTAGTATGTGTATGTCTGGACTCGGCACTTCTTCCTGTACAGCGCCAGGCTCCGTCACACCGGGGAGGATGTATGTTGGTCTGAGTTGAAACATTGGTTAGGCTCTTTATTAGTATTCTAGCATTCTGCTTCGCTACTCTGTACTACGTGAGTGAAGTCAGTCCCGGTCAGGTCAGTCTTGGTATCCAAGTCTTCCCTGCGCCATTCGACACCATTTTGTATATATGAGAATGCACATTGCTTGTCGAGATTTCACTTGCACCGCATTGTCCATTTAGTCCTTTTCATCGCATTGCAGATTCGCGATCATTACGTACATCACGTATCTGTGCATGTAACGTGGCTTGGCGAGATTCTATTCGCCTCGCCTCGTCCATTCAGTCTTTCATCACATTGCAGGTCCTCGGTCATTATGTACATTACKCATCTGGGCATGTWACAGAAAGAGGAGAGAGTACACTCTCCATGGACGTTGGTTTTCAGTACTACGAACCTCCATTGGGGTATCATTGGTGCAATGCTACTCTCTGGACGCGGTGTGACTGCCTGGCTTTCAATGTGATGGTATGACCTGGATGATGATGATTATTATTATTATTATTATTATTATTATTATTATTATTATTATTATTATTACTGCTATTATTATTATTATTATTATTATTATTATTATTATTATTAGTATTAGTATTAGTATTAGTATTATCTCATACATAACGATCCTGGGTGCACGTGGCTTCTATGCGTTAGGGGACGAGAGGGTGAAGAGAGAGATGTACCTGGGTAGTGAGGAGATCGGCATTAGTGTTGACGACGCCACTCGTTGGTCGTCAAGTTCTCTGATTGCTTCCATGATGTAGTTGTAGACTAGGCTGCAGAGTAAAATAGGACGCCAGGTACCATTCAAGAGTGAGAGCTGCATTGGGTTACGCTCTTGATGTTGCCCGAATGGGCTGGACATTGAATCACGATTTTGTCGTATCATTCTCAGATGGATGGGTACTTGGTCCCATTATGCTATCTGCTCTTGCTTTGACTACTTGGACTAGGGCGTGATTCTGCGACGTGGATTTATGTGCTACGTCCACATGCATATTTATTATTATTATTATTATTATTATTATTATTATTA